CTGAGACCCCATCTCAAAAAAAAATTTGATTTGCTGCTTTTTCCCATCACATTTCAGCTATATGAGTGCAGGAATGGAGTGAGCAAACAATTAGGTTTAACCACAGTTACGATTTTTGCCCAACAAGTATGACAGCAAGAGAGGGACCAGGGAGATGAGTGCCTATGCAATTCAATGATTACAAGTGATTACAATGAGTGAGTGACCATAGGAGTTAGGCTAGGTAAAGAGGAAAGTGAGGCCTTTATGGGGAAAGGCAGTGACATGTAAGGGATAAGTGGTTTGGAGGGCACAGTGGGTGCAAGGATTGTTGGGTTTGAGATACTAGAGAAAATGAGGTAGAAAAACAGTTTTTAAAAAATTAAGATGGCAGGGCATGGTAGCTCATGCCTGTAATCCCAGCACTTTGGGAAGCCAAGGTGGGCAGATCACCTGAGGTCAGGAGCTTGAGACCAGCCTGGCCAACATGATGAAACCTTGTTTCTACTAAAAATACAAAAATTAGCCAAGTGTGGTGGTGTGTGCCTGTAATCCCAGCTACTAGGGAGGCTGAAGCACAAGAATCGCTTGAACCCAGGAGGCGGAGGTTGCAGTGAGCCGACATCTCGTCACTGCACTCCAGCCTGGGTGACAAGAGTGAGACTCTGTCTCAAAAAAAAAAAGAAAAAAAAAAAAGATGTTTTATAACTCTTATTCAACCAGTCTTACCTCTTGATGTATATATTTTTAAAAATTTATACTTCTTTATGAAACATTTCTCCTAAGTATATTGTATGAGGATGAAAGGTGTGAGACTATTGGTTATTGTATTGAAAACACTTCCTCTTCAAGTTGGCAAGTATAAAACGGTACCAACTATGAAGGACTTAAAAATATCTTCATCTGCCTTTCTACTCCTTTACCAGGTGAAGGAGGAATTCTTTTTTTGTTCTTCATTAATATTTGCAATAGTGAGGCAGACACTGCTTCAGACATCTTGCCTTTTGTGCATTATTTATGAAGTTACTAGGCAATGATGCTCCTTGAAAAAGCAGCCAGTTTGTAAAAAAGCCTTCATATGTAGATGTTGAATTTTGCATTTCAAGGTCCCTTGATAATTTGGTAGTTTGAAAAAGCTGGGCTTTCTCGATTGCTTTCGTCTTATTCTTTACCTAGTATTTTCTCCCTAGCACAGGGCAATTGATTTCTTTTCAGTGGTAGCTGAAATAAATATAAAATTAGATATTGTTTTTTACAGTGGTCATAATTGTTATTTTAGTAGTACTGTAGCATTATCCTTATCTGTGAGTAAACCAAAGAGATAAAAATGTCATTGGTTTTCTACACAAGTTAAAGTGACTAAATGTAGACTTTGGATAAATGGGAACTTTTTCTTTCAAAAAATGATTCATTCTGATTATTAAAGTAATTGATGGCCGGGTGTGGTGGCTCACGCCTGTAATCCCAGCACTTTGGGAGGCCGAGGCGGGCGGATCACAAGGTCAGGAGATTGAGACCACGGTTAAACCTCGTCTCTACTAAAAATACAAAAAAAATTGGCCGGGCGTGGTGTCGGGCACCTGTAGTCCCAGCTACTCAGGAGGCTGAGGCAGGAGAATGGCATGATCCCGGGAGGCAGAGCTTGCAGTGAGCCGAGATGGCGCCACTGCACTCCAGCCTGGGGAACAGAGCGAGACTCCGTCTCAAAAAAAAAAACAAAACAGTAATTGATATAATAGTTACACTTGGCAAAAAATTGGAAAATTCAAGAATATAGTGCTGTACGTGGCAAGCAATGTATATTTGAATTATGAATGGAAAAAAGTACAGAATATTAATATATGCAAAAATTAAATTTGCATAAATCTCTCCTCCCATTCTCCATCCCCCCCAAATCAATAAAGTATAGAATTATTTTCAAATCTGGGGCCAAGTGAATTATAAACTCTGTGTTCTTGCCATATGGTGGCACCAGTCTTGCAGGTAAATAGGATTAATTTTTCTGTTAGGATTAATCTTGTTTCATGTGAGTTTTGAAGTATGTGAGGTCTTTAGTTATACATTCCTGGCATAAAATGTGACCACTGAGATGAAGAAGAAAATGAAAACCACCTATAATCTTACTACCCACAGATAATTGCTATTACTATTTTGATATATGTGTATAGAAATACATTTTAATAGTGTTTTACATACTGTTCTATCCAGTTTTTTCACTTAGGAAAAATACATAGTGACTAGATTATACTGTATTCTACCTTTCTTTTTTTTGAGATGGAGTCTTGCTCTTGCCCAGGCTGGAGTGCAATGGCATGATCTCGGCTCACTGCAACCTCCGCCTCCCGGGTTCAAGCTATTCTCCTGCCTCAGCCTCCCGAGTAGCTGGGACTGCAGATGTGTGCCACCATGCCCAGCTAATTTTTGTGTTTTAGTAGAGACGGGGTTTCACCATGTTGGTCAGGCTTGTCTTGAACTCCTGACCTCATGATCTGCCTGCCTCGGGCTCCCAAAGTGCTGGGATTATAGGTGGGCCACCATGCCCAGCCTTGTATTCTACCATTTTTATGCACCACAACTTGATCACCAATAATATCATAATGGGTGATTTCCTTTTTTTTTCCTAGCATAGATATTTATAAATAATTTTACAAATTAATATCCTTTTATATGCATATGTATGCGCATCCCTGGCTATCTGGCTATCTTTTTAGGATTTCTTTTTTTTTTTTTTTTTTTTTTTGAGACTAAGTCTCACTCTGTCACCCAGGCCGGAGTGCAATGTCACGATCTTGGCTCACTGCAGCCTCTGCCTCCTGAGTTCAAGCAATTCTCCTGTCTCAGCCTTCTGAGTAACTGGGATTACAAGTGTGTGCCAACCATGCCTGGCTAATTTTTTGTATTTTTAGTAGAGACAGGGTTTTACCATGTTGGTCAGGGTGGTCTCGAACTCCTGACGTCAGGTGATCCACCCACCTAGGCCTCCCAATGTGTTGGAAATACAGGCATGAACCGCCACACCTGGCCTTAGGATTTATTTTCTAAAGGTAAATGTATGGTGGGTTAAGGGTGTATGCATTTTAAAGGATTCAAAGGATGGTTCGAGAGCATATTTCCCAATTATTTTCTAGGAAGGTTGTCCCACTAGTCATATATGATATACCCCTAAACTGAGCAGTTGTTCTTTAGCTTTTAGCTTGTGAGATTGAGGATTAAAAGCAGCTAAGATATAATGTGATTAATGATAATAAAAATTCAATAAAACTTTTTAGTTTTTGTGTAATGCAGTAAAATGTTTGATTCCCTTATGGTACCAGAATATATATGAGGAGAAAACAACATATCTTCTATTATTCCTAAAATTTTCTTGACAAAATATTGAGTCATTATGTGTTTTTCTGTTACATCCTAGACAGTACAATGTAGATTATAAACTGGAGACTTACTTGAAGATTGCTAGGCTATATCTGGAGGATGATGATCCAGTCCAGGCGGAGGCTTACATAAATAGAGCATCGTTGCTTCAGAATGAATCAACCAATGAACAATTACAGATACATTATAAGGTAACAGATAAGTTGATTTGGAATTAATTTTGTATTGGAGAATTGTGACATACTAAGATATTCCAGAACATCTGATAGATGCTCTTAAATATTAGAAATTGTTTCTCTATTTTTTTTTTTTTCAACTCTCGCTTTTTAATTTGTCGCCTAATTGAAACATTTTCCTTCTGTAGGTATGCTATGCACGTGTTCTTGATTATAGAAGAAAATTCATTGAAGCTGCACAAAGGTACAATGAACTCTCTTACAAGACAATAGTCCACGAAAGTGAAAGACTAGAGGCCTTAAAACATGCTTTGCACTGTACGATCTTAGCATCAGCAGGTAAACATGTAATAATTTATACTTAAATGAACAGTTATCTTTTTTTTTTTTTTTTTTTTTTTTTTTTTGAGACGGAGTCTTGCTCTGCTGCCCAGGCTGGAGTGCAGTGGCGCGATCACACTCACTGCAAGCTCCGCCTCCCGGGTTTACGCCATTCTCCTGCCTCAGCCTCCCGACTAGCTGGGACTACAGGCGCCCGCCACCTCGCCCAGCTAGTTTTTTGTATTTTTTTTAGTAGAGACGGGGTTTCACCGTGTTAGCCAGGATGATCTCGATCTCCTGACCTCGTGATCCGCCTCCCAAAGTGCTAGGATTACAGGCTTGAGCCACCGCGCCCGGCCTATGAACAGTTATCTTTGCTTAATAACTTTAGGTTGGTTACTGTTGGAAAATTTAGCAAGGAACTATTCTTCAAAGGGATGTCTTCGTAATACAATTATGGTAAATGTAGTTTAAGTGTTTAAACAAAAACAGAAATAAAATGATTTGTTAAAATAATTTAATATGCTCATATCAGTCTATTATGCATATGTGTTAAGAATAGTTAAAAGAGGGCTGGGTGCGGTGGCTCACACCTGTAACGGATCACGAGGCCAGGAGATTGAGACCAGCCTGGCTAACACAGTGAAACCCTGTCTCTACTAAAAATACAAAAAATTAGCCGGGCATGGTGGCGGGCACCTGTAGTCCCAGCTACTCAGGAGACAGAGGCAGGAGAATGGTGTGGATCCAGGAGGTGGAGCTTGCAGTGAGCTGAGATCGCGCCCCTGCACTTCACCGTGGGTGACAGAGCAAGACTCTGTCTCAAAAAAAAAAAAAAAAAGTTAAAAGAGATAATGTAAAGTTCTAAAATTTCACTAAAGAAGTGGATATCAACTTAATTAAGTGAGAATTGTGCAGAGTGAAACAAAAATTAAAATCTGTAGATTGATGAAATGATAATTAATACACTGCTTTTGATTTTTTTTTTAACCTTCAAGCCTCAGTTTTAGACCTGACATCCTTTTCTTCAATACATGTAACAAATATTGTTTGTTCTTTTTACTGAATTATAGCATGTAAATCACTTATGAAGTAGAATGAGTGTTAAGAGGAAATGCTAATTCTAAACCATAGCTTTTCTTAAATCACTCTATCACCTAGGCTGGAGTGCAGTGGCGCAGTCACTACTCACTGCAGCCTCAACCTCCTGGGCTCAAGTTATCCTCCCACCTCAGCCTCCCAAGTAGCTGGGACTACAGGTGCACACCACCATGCCTGGCTAAAGTTTTTGTATTTTTCTAGAGATGGGGTTTCTCCATGTTGCCCAGTCTGGTCTTGAGCTCCTGGGCTCATGGGATCCACCTGCCTTGGCTTCCCAAAGTGCTGAGATTACAGGTGTGAGCCACCACACCCATCCCATTTTATTCTTTATGGACTAGTAATCTTATTTATTTTATTTTTTGTTATTGAAAAGGCAGTACATGAACATGGTACTGCTTCTTTTTCTAAAGAACTTTTACTGGTTTCTTACATTTCTTTCAATACAAATGGTAGCATATACACACTTTTGCAACTTGCCTTTTTATTGTAACTGTATACATCATTGTGATCTTTACATGTCAGTACATATAACTCATTCTTTTTGATTTTCTGTTGTCTGGCTTTATCATAATTCATTTAGTCAATCACAACACTATAGTGATTATGCACATGTATGAGTATATGTATAGGTTAACTTTCTGGATTCAAAGGTGCATACTTTTGAATTTTTGATAGACGTTACACATTGTCCTGTACTATTACACTCCAAACAAAAATATTCATGAGCACCTGATTTCTTACACAGATATTACCACATTCTTTTATCTTTTCTGATCCGGTAGATGAAAAACCATATCTCACTTTAATTTCAATTTGTATTTACAAAAGCTCTGGAGCATTTTTTGTATGTTTAAAAACATTGTTGAAAAATCTGTATTTCTTTATTAAGTGAATTATACATTTATGTTGATTGGCCATTTTTTGAGTTGTTTGTCCTTTCTTGGTGACTTGTGAAAGCTCTTTAGATATAAAGGAAAATTAAAATTTTTCCTAACTTGTCATCTTTTTGGTTTTGTTTATGACATTTTTCCCATGCAGAACCTTTTAATGTTTACTTAATTACATTTATTAATCTTTCTTTAATGGCTTCTAAGTTTTGTTGACTTGCTTAGAAAAGTCTTCCCTACTCTGAAATTATATGTCATTTTAAATCCCTCAGTGTTTTCTTTCAGTACTTTAGGTTCTCAAATTTCTTGGTGTCAGGACCCCTTTACACTCTGAAAAAAGTATTGAGAACCCAAAAGCTCTTGTTTATATAGATTCTATCTACTGATTATTAGAAATTAAATGAGTAATTTAAGATAATTTATTAATTTATTTTAAAGTAGCAATAATAGACCCTTTACATGTAAACATAAATGACATACTTTTATGAAAAACAATTATATTTTTCTAAGCAAAAAATGTTACTGGGAATGGAATTGTTTTGCATTTAAAAATTTTTTTTTTTTTCCAGACAGAGTCTGGCTCTGATGCCCAGGCTGGAGTGCAGTGGCGCAATCTTGGCTCACTGCAAGCTCAGCCTCCCGGGTTCATGCCATTCTCCTGCCTCAGCCTCCCGAGTAGCTGGGACTACAGCTGCCCGCCACCGCGCCTGGCTAATTTTTTGTATTTTTTAGTAGAGACCGGGTTTCACCATATTAGCCAGGGTAGTTTTGATCTCCTGACCTTGTGATCCGCCCACCTTGGCCTCCCAAAGTGCTGGGAGTACAGGTGTGAGCCACCGCGCCGGACCGAAACAGCTCAATTCTTATAGGACTTCCGCATTCACTCCGTTTGAATAGGTTATTTTAGTTAGAGTATATGAAGAAAATTCCTCACACAGATGTGTAGCTGGAAAAGACAAGCACATTTTAATGTCATTTTCAGGTAATTGTGGATATTCTTTGATACTATGCTTGACAGATGGTATAGTTTCTTACAGGTTAGTTGCAATGTGGAATCTGAAACCATATCAATAAGCTTTTTGCATTATATGACATTAAAACTTCTGTTTTCTACTTCCTTTTACATAATAAGTTAGCATCCATTAAGAATCCCTGCTTGGGGCCAGGGGCGGTGGCTCACGCCTGTAATCCCAGCACTTTGGGAGGCCGAGGTGGGCGGATCACCTGAGGTTGTGAGTTTGAGACCAGCCTGACCAACATGGAGAAACCTCGTTTCTACTAAAAATACAAAATTAGCTGGGCGTGGTGGTACGTGCCTGTAATCCCAGCTACTCGGGAGGCTGAGGCAGGAGGATCACTTCAACCCGGGAGGCGGAGGTTGCAGTGAGCCGAGATCGCGGCATTGCACTCCAGCCAGGGCAACAAGAGCGAAACTCCGTCTCAAAAAATAAAAAATAATAATAATAGTAATAATCCTTGCTTGGGTCATTCATTACATTGTATGTTACAAAATGGTGATTTGCTCATTCTATTCTTCTGCATGAACTTTTTTCTTCCTTTTTTTACTTTTATTTTGAACTTTTTACTTTGTACTTTTTTTCTGCTTATTTTCTGTTAGTATGATATGCACACAGGAAAAGTACACATATGAAAAGTATACAGCTTGATGAATTTTCACAAGCTGAACACCTCCATGTAACAAGCATCCAGAACAAGAAACAAGATGTTACCAACACTCCGCCTTCTTTATGCTTTCTTCAAGTCACTAGCCCCAACTCCTAACCCTACAAGAATAATCACTAGTATATATTAGCCTTCTTATTTTTTTTTATATAAATGAAATAATATAGTGTATTCATTCTTCTTTTGCTCAATTTTATGAAGTTTATCCATGGCTATGTGTATTTGTACTTTCTTCATTTTCCTTGTTATATAGTATTTCATTGTATGACTATACCACAATTCATTTATCCTAATTTCTTATTGGCTGCTAGGAATAGTACTGCTATGAACATTCTTGTATATTTGACACAGCTTTTTATTTATTCAGCGTATGACAATCAATTAACAATTGTTACTCTTTTTGATGTTCAAATTGTTCCTCAAACATGACTAGGTTATGCCTTTTTTTGTTTTTTTTTTAATGGAGATGAGGTCTTGCTATGTTGGCCAGGGTAGTCTGGCCTCAAGCAATCCCTCCATCTTGGTCTCTCAAAGTGCTGGGATTATAGGCATGAGCCACTGTGCCTGGCCAGTTATGTCTTTTTGACATGGCCCCATTAACCTTTGAATACTTCCCTGCGAATTAGCAGGAAAAGGTAACTTGGATTTATCTTGTATTTTGCCTGCCTCAGACTTGAAATCAGCTATTTTTCAAGGATCCCTAGTTCTTTTTAATGAGCTACCAAGATTTGGACATTAGATATGCTCATTGCTTCTGGGTGTCATTGTGGTTAGGCTCTTTTGGTATAAAGAACTAGAAATATATTTAAAAAGAAAAAGGTTGTTGATAGGATCATTTTCGTGAGTTTGTTTTTTTAATGTTATCAGTTGTCACTAAAGTTCCTTGAAAATATAAATTGAAATTATGAATATTAAGTCTCCCTATCAGATAAATATTTTTTCATTTTTCATAAATTTTTTATTAATGAAATAATGAATGTTTATTGTAGAAGTACAAATAAGAAAAGGAAAATAGAAATCACCTGTTCTTCCAACCGCTTATAACATTTTGGCCTGAAATTCTTCATGTATGACTATATAGTTGCTCTTCTTTATCTGTGGATTCCATGTTTCTGAATTCTCCTCCTTGCTAAAATTTATTCATAACCCCAAAGTCAATACTTGCAGCACTTCCACTGTCATTTGCAGACATGTGCAGGGTGGCAAAACATTTGAATGTCCTGGCATGTTTCCACCTGAGGTTGAACATGTAGATTCCCTGCTTGTTTTTTTTACTTTTATACCGTACACAAATATCCTTTTCATGGTCTGTTTAAGATCATGTTTCTCACACTTTTGTTCTGTTTTCAGTGATTTTGCTGTTTACAATGGCACGCAGCCATAGTGCTCTCTGGGGGGTAGTCTTAAGTGCCCTGTGGAGAAAATACGTGTGTTAGATAGCTTCATTTAGGTGTGATTTATAGTGTTGGCCGTGAGTTCAGTGTTAATGAATCAACAATATATATATATTAAATAGGATGTCTCTAAACAGAAACACACATAAAACAAGGTTACAGATTAATTCCTTGATGAAAATGTTGTGACCAGATGCTCACAGGAACCTAACCTTTATTCCCGTAGGAGCAGCAGTTTAGTACTTGATAATTCAGTGTCGTCAGTGACTGCAGACCATGATTACCATGAATAATGAGTACTGGCTGTATATTTAGTAGACAAAAATGAGGTCATAAGATAGATTTTTTTTTTTCCTAAAGAAACATTGTGAAAATAACATTGTGAAATTTGATGCTCATTTATTTCTCTTAGGACAGCAGCGTTCTCGGATGCTAGCTACTCTTTTTAAGGATGAAAGGTGCCAGCAACTTGCTGCCTATGGGATCCTAGAGAAAATGTACCTAGATAGGATCATCAGAGGAAATCAGCTTCAGGAATTTGCCGCCATGCTGATGCCTCACCAAAAAGCAACTACAGCTGATGGTAATGATCATGGCTTATGTGTATATGGTAGTCAATGTTTAGGTACAGACTAGTGAACATCATGTTAAATTAGAAGCATCTTGCTTTTAATAATAATTCTATATAACACCTCCTCATAAAAAAAGAGGAATTATTTTTATTTTTTAAATTAAAAAAAATTTTTTTTTTAAATTTTATTTTGAGATGGAGTCTTGCTCTGTCTCCCAGGCTAGAGTAGTGCAGTGGCCAGGTGACGTAATCTTGGCTCACTGTAAGCTTCGCCTCCTGGATTCATACCGTTCTCCTGCCTCAGCCTCCTGAGTAGCTGGGACTACAGGCACCTGCCACCATGCCCGGCTAATTTTTTCATATTTTTAGTAGAGACGGGGTTTCACCATGTTAGCCAGGATGGTCTCAATCGCCTGACCTCATGATCCACCCACCTTGGCCTCCCAAAGTGCTGGGATTACAGGCGTGAGCCACCATGCCTGGCCTATTTTTTATTTTTTTTGAGAGAGAGTTTTACTCTTGTTGCCCAGGCTGGAGTGCAATGGCGCAATCTCGGTTTACCACAACCTCTGCCTCCCGGGTTCTAGTGATTCTCCTACCTCAGCCTCCCAAGTAGCTGGGATTACAGGCATGCGCCACCACACCCGGCTAATTTTGTAATTTTAGTAGAGATGGAGTTTCTCCATGTTGCTCAGGCTGATCTCGAACTCCCGACCTCAGGTGATTCGCCTGCCTCAGCCTCCCAAAGTGATGAGATTACAGGCGTGAGCCACAGTGCCCAGCGATACAGTCCTTTTAACTGGGTATACTGCTGTACTGCTTAAAAATGTATATATTATGGCTGGGCATGGTGGCTCATGCCTGTAACCCCAGCACTTTGGGAGGCTAAGGCGGGAGGATCACTTGAGCCTGGGAGTTTCAGACCAACCTGTGCAACATAGTGAGGCCTTATCTCTACAAAATGTAAAGAAAAACAGCTAGGGATGGTGATACATGCCTGTGGTTCTAGCTAGTTTGGAGGCTGAGGTGGGAGGATTGGTTGAGCCCAGGAGGTCAAGGTTACAGTGAGCCGTGATTGCCCCATGGCACTCCAGTTTCAGTGACAGTGTATGACCTTGTTAAAAAAAATTGTGATAAAATATATATAACATAAAAATCACCATTTTAACATGTGCAGTTCTGTGGCATTAAGTACTTTCACATTGTTGTGCAACCATCACCGACATCCATCTCCAGAACTTTTACATTTTCCCAAACTAAAACTCTGTACCTATTAAACAATAACTCCTTATTCTTGCCTCCCCTCTGCCTGCTCTACTACTTTTTGACATGGGATAGACTGGGAGAAGAACAGACTGAGGAGAGAAGTTTTTCTTTTTTTTTTGTTAGTTATAGTTGTGCTCTGTTGTCCAGGTTAGAGTGCACTGGGGCAATCATGGCTCACTGCAGCCTAGAACAAAGTAACTGGGACTGCAGGTGCACACCACCATGCCCAGTTAATGTTTTAATTTTTTGTAGAGTTAGGGTCTCACTATGTTGCCCAGGCTAGTCTTGAACTCCTGGCCTCAAACAGTTCTCCCACCTCAGCCTTCCAAAGCACTGGGATTACAGACATGAGCCACTGTGCCTGGCTAAGCAGTCCTTTTTTTTTTTTTTTTTTACTTTTTGAGACAGGGTCTCACTCTTTTGCCCAGGCTGGGGCTGGCATGATGCCATAGCTCACTGCAGCCTCAACCTCTTGGGCTCAAATGATCCTTCCACCTACCTCCACCTCCCCAGAAGCTTAGGCATGTGCCTCCACACCTTGCTAATTTTTAAATTTTTTTGTAGAGGCGGGGTGTCTCCATGTTGCCCAGGCTGGTCTTGAACTCCTGGGCTCAAGTAGTCCTCCCACCTTGGCCTCCCAAAGTGCTGGGATTATAGGGGTAAGCCACTGCACCTGCCTGCTTTTTTGGACGTATTAAATTTGAGATATTTATAAAATTAATGGATTGGATATTTAGGTAGTTGGCTGTATAAGTCTGAATTCATAAGGGAGATTTAGATTACAGATATGTGTCTGATCATTATCAGCATTTTGATGGTAGGATAAAAAGAGAAGAAGGTGCAAAATTAAGCCCTCTAATATTTGAGAGTTGAAAAAGAAGGAGGAACCAGCACGGTAAACTGGGAGATAGGAGTTAAGTGAAAAACTAGCGGATCGTGGGTGGAATTCTGGAAAAGGAGGTGAGGCACTGTAAGAAACAGGGGTTCTCAGAATACTTCCCTTGAAGTCTCCAAGTATATTTTGTCCCCTGCACTCATTACAGTAGTTAAATGTTCAGCAGAAATATGTAAGCATGGGGTGAGCCCAGTGGTCTAATAACATTCAAAGTAGGACCTTGGGTCCAGAACATTATCAGATACTGTATGACCTCACTGAAAAGAGGATTCTATGCCTGATCTCTCAGCCTGGTCCTGGGTCTGGATCTGGATATTTCTCACATTTGCCTTGGTTTGATGCTCGTGGAGTGCCCACAAGAATAGAGATCACTTTATGAAGCTTGCAGAACAGGTTGCATGATTGTTGTGCTGCTGCTTGCTAGTAAAAGTTTATGCTTGTAGAAAGAAAAGTTAATGGGCCAGGCGCCATAGCTAATGCCTGTAATCACAGCACATTGGGAGGCCCAGGTGGGAGCATCACTTGAGGCCAGGTGAGACCTGCCTGGCCAACATGATGAAACCTCGTCCCTACTAAAAATACAAGAAATTAGCCAGGTGTGGTGGTGCACACCTGTAGTCCTAGCTACTCAGGAGACTTAGGCATGAGAATTGCTTGAACCTGGGAGACAGAGGTTGCAGTGAGCAGAGATTGTGCCACTGCACTCCAGTCTGGGCAACAGAATGAAATTCTGTCTCAAAAAAAAAAGTTAATGAATTTGATAGCCTAAAGAAGCAAGATTCCAAATCCAAAGCATTAGATCTATTTACTTAATAATTACTTGCCAATCATTCATTTGCTAAGTGTTATTTTTATTTAATTGTACATTAATGAAACTACATCATATATTGGCTACTTTTAAAATTTTGATCAGAGAAATTAAATTTGATCAGAGTTATTACATGCCTGGAAATTTTCAGAAAAAATGATGCATCTTTTTAGAGTATAAAACTGGTTTCAAACTTGTAACTGTCTTATTTATGTTTAAGGTTCCAGCATCTTGGACAGAGCTGTTATTGAACACAATTTGTTGTCTGCAAGCAAATTATATAATAATATTACCTTTGAAGAACTTGGAGCTCTTTTAGAGATCCCTGCAGCTAAGGTATCTTCTTGATTCCAATACATTTTGAAAACAGTTAAGAGGTGAAACTATTAAAATAATGAGAAAATAAAATAAATGTTGGAAACAACAAGAAAATACATGTTGGAAACAACATTTGTTATCTTCCAACAAGATAAATGTTGGAAACAACAACAGAATTACACCTAAAAGCCACAAGTAAATGTAAATAAATTCTTTAGAAGTTAAAATAGGCCTAGTGTGTTTAGTGGAATTCTCTTAGTGTTTTTGGTGTTTTAAATTGTGTTTTGTGATCAAGTGACCTAGAATAGAAATCTTTCAGGAGTTTCAGGTTATGACACCCATTTTCTGAGAATGTCTTTGTTTGGTGTTTGTTTAAATCTACTTTATAGTGGTTTTTGACTTCTGACTAAGATTTTGATACATGCCTTACTTTTTTTGTGCCCTAGATTGACTCAAAGTTTAAATATTTCATCTTTTTGAGAGAATGATACGGTAATGCTCCAGGCTATTCTGTTGTAGCTTCTATGCTTGGATTTAACTTAAGAAATTGACTGACTTACTAGGGAATGTACTTTTATTGTTTGTTTTAAGTTTTGGTTGACTATATATAAATTCCAACAAGTACCAATGACATTTAGAGAGTATTGCAGGTATCATTTACAAAATATTCTCTTGATTTTAAATAAAATTAAGCAATCGACCTTACTTTTAGCTAATTTGTAAACCTTAAAGTCATGCAGTTATGGGTCACATCCCTTTTTCTCTGGCAGTGAAATTTTTTGTCTGTTTATTTGGGGGTTTTTTTGTTTATTTTTAGAGACAGGCTCTTGCTGTGTCACCCAGGCTGGAGTGCAGTGGCACGATCATAGCTTACTGCTGCTTCAGACTCGTGGGTTCAAGCAATCTTCCTGCCTCAGACTCCCAAGTAGCTGGTACTACAATTATGCATCACCACGCCTGGCTAATGTTTTTGTTTGTTTGTTTTCCCCCAAGACGGACTCTAGCTCTGTTGTCCAGGCTGGAGTGTAGTGGTGTAATCTCGGTTCACTGCAACCTCTGCCTCCCAGGTTCAGGCAATTCTCTTACCTAAGCCTCCTGAGTAGCTGAGATTACACCACCACGCCTAGCTAATTTTTGTATTTTTAGTAGAGATGGGGTTTCACTGTGTTGGCCAGGCTGATCTCAGATTTCTGACGTTGTGATCCACCAGCCTCAGCCTCCCAGAGTGCTGAGATTACAAGTGTGAGTCACCACGCCCAGCCTTTTTTTTTTTTTTTTAAAGAAACAGGGTCTTGCTGTGTTGCCCAGGCTAGTCTTGAACTCCTGGTCCCAAGTGATCCTCCTACCTCGGCCTCCCAAAGTGCTGGGATTACAGGCATGAGCCATTGTGCCTGGCCTGGCAATGAACTTTTAATTAGAATTTTCTAACAATTCCTTTACTTGTATACATTCAGTACACAGTAAAGGAAGAACAATTTGGGAGTCAAGGTTTAAGTTACCATTAAAAGAGACTTTCTTCTTGAGGCTTTAAGGTATGATCTCTTGCTGAGACTATTGGAGGTGAATATATTTTTAACAATAAATGCTAGTCATAGTCTATTCAGGACTGATAGGATTGATTGTGAAGATGGTCAAAATTAATAAATGACCAGGTCACAATCCAGTTTGCTTATGCACAGTAAACATTAAGTATGTCTTCAGGAGTTAGGTAGCAGACTTTTTGCTTTCTTTTAATTGTCTTTTAAACCCTTTCAATTTATATTGGAATTTCACCATCTACCTTTCAATTTTTAAAGAGTTTCTGGGGTAGCAAATACTGTGGAAATTGAAATAAAATAAGAAAAACTAGTTTGTTTGGGTTTTTTTGAGATGTGGATCCCAGTAAGAAGAAAAATTGATAGTTTGCTTTTGAGCAGAAGAGAAAATGGTAAAGTTATATTCTTGTCCAAAATCTCACAAGAAAAACAGATCCCAGTTAACTTAAAATAATGGCTTATGCACAGCAAGAACTGGGAAATAGCCAGATTTACAGGATTTACTCTTCTAGTGACAGATTAACATATATGTAAAGTTTAGTGATGGTAGTTAAACCAGAAGCTTTCAGTTCTCTTATCATATGTGAATAGCTAAAAGATATGATAAAGTTTCAGAGAGTTTTTTTTTTCCCCCAATAGGCGGAAAAGATAGCATCTCAAATGATAACAGAAGGACGTATGAATGGATTTATTGACCAGATTGATGGAATAGTTCATTTTGAAAGTAAGAGGTTTTGTGTATTTCTGTCATAATGAAATAGCAGTGAACTGTTGTTATATTTATGATTAAAACATGCTGGACAGTTTCCTTTGACTCAGAATCTTATTACTAGAATGAGCTTATTTCCCAAAGAAATAATTTAAAATAATTTTTAAGAAGTTATATTCATGAGGCTGGGCATGGTAGCTCATGCCTGTAATCCCAGCACTTTGGGAGGCCGAGACAGGCGGATTACTTGAGGTCAGGAGTTTGAGATCAGCCTGGCCAACACGGTGAAACCCTGTCTCTACTAAAAATATAAAAATTAGCCAGGTGTGGTGGCAGGCACCTGTAGTCCCAGCTACTCAGGAGGCTGAGGCAGGAGAATTGCTTGAACCCAGGAGGCAGAGGTTGCAATGAGCCAAGATTGCACCACTGCACTCCAACCTGGGTGACAAAGCGAGACTCTGTCTCAAAAAAAAAAAAAAAAAAAAATTCATGAATGTACTTACTGCAGGATTTTCTATGTTAAGGAAAAATTTGAAACTCAAATTGTTGTATCAGTTCATTCATTTATGCATCAAATATTTATTGACCACATAGCAGGCATGTATCAGGCATATGGAAATGACAGTTGCATTTCCTATTCAGCAACTCATTAAACTAATGGAGGCAGACAGGTAAGTGGATCCCTTGACTTTTTCATTGTCTAATACCTTCTCAGCTCCTTATTCCCACCTCATTTATACCCTGGACCTTACTGTACCCAGAACTGTTCCACTTGTAAAATTTTTATTTGAAATATCTCACTCTGGCCATAACCTTTTTCTTGTTTCTCTAGTGTTCTGTGGTCTGTCTCCGTTACTCCCAGTTCAGTTCTTCCTTGACCTTGTTGGAGTTTCTGGTCCATTGACTCTTCTGTTTTCTTCCAGTTAGCATAATGTTTTTTGTGCTGGAGGAGAGTCAGGCATCAGACAGGCTGATACTTCTCTGAAGTCAAGGTCACAGGTCCTCAGCACTACATAGGATTCATGGTACATTTCTCTAGTCCACTCCTTTTCCTACTTTGCAATGGTTATTTCAGTTTTGGTTTTTCTTAAATTTCTGACTTTTCTCCCCATTTACTCTCAGTAGAAAATCTTGTTTCCCATTTCAGAGGGGAAAAAAGCCATCAGTATGAAGTATTTTGATTTTTTTTTTTAGTTTTTAAATTTTTTCTCTGATTCAATTTGATATTTTAACTTCTTTATCAGATGTAGAAACACTTTAATTTTAGATGTAGATGTGAATCTTTTTCTTCCTTCGTGTTTTACTGCGAATGGTTCCTGTCACCCTGTCTGGTTCTTCCACTCGGGCTTTGGACCTTTTCTCTGATCCTTTCCCTCTCCCCTCCCACCAAAAAACACTGATTTAGGAACCTGAGGTTAGCAGTTACTTTTGTCTGGTTTTATCCTTTTTTCTACTGGCTTCTTTCCATCAATATTTACACATCCTCAGGACTCCCCCATTTTAATGAAAATCCTTATATCTTTCAAATCTCATCTTGACTTTTCAACATATCAAATAATGTTGATCTCTCACTGCTTTTTGAACCTTCTCCCCACCACCACAGCATTGACTTTTGTCATCTCTTCCATCCGATTCTACTTTTCCTCTTATATCTCCAGCTATCCTTCATAGTCATCTTTGTGGAATCTGTAGTACCTTTAAATTTAAATACTAGTTACTTAGGACTTAATCCTAGACCGTTCCCCACTTGTGCTACTGAATTTCCATGGATAATCTCATCTATTTCCTTTGATTCGGTTACTGTCTCTGTGTAGACAATGCCTACATTTACCCTCCTAGGGTGAATCTTCTAAGTCCTAGCCCCATGGTTCTAGTTTACTACTAAGATGTTTCTACCTGATTGCTTCGGCATCTTAGCATGAACATATCAAAAACTGAATTTATTATCTTCGCTTCTTATGTGTCCCCCACGACTAACCAACCAGCCATCCCAAAACTGCATTGTTAGCTTTCTCCAATATTCCTTATCCTTGGGCTCAAACCATCCTCCTGCCTCAACCTCCTAAATCCCTGACGTGCTGGGGACTACAAGTGTGAGCCATTGAACCGGGTCCTTTTCTTCATTTCTTACTATCACCAACCTGTTCTGAACCCTACTATTATAACCTCTTCAGGTGCTGAGAAATAACCTCTTTCTTTCTCGTATCTACAATTGCTCCCTTTCTAGTCCCGTTCCCTAGTACATCTGGAATGATTATTTTCTTTTAAAAAATGCAAACATAAAAAAAGAAATAAACAAATGGTTAAATCATGTTATTCTTTTGTTTACGCTCTAATGAATGTCTTCCCCATTGCTTGTAGAACAAAGTTATACAAAGTCTCCCCAAAGCTGGTCCTGGTTCTTTCTAGCTTTCTCTTGCATAAGTCTTCTTTTTATTTTTTTCAGCATTGCAAATTCTTCCCCCATCAAACATTCTGAAATATTCACCCCTTTCCAGTCATCTTCTCTTTGTCCCCTGTCTCAATTTGAATATCCTTAATCAGTAATGATTTTCCTGGCTCTCCAGATTAGATATGGCTTTAAATTATATGTTCTCATGTCAGCCTGAATTTCTTCCTAGCATTAATCTTAGTTATTTTCAGTTGTATAACTCTTTGTCGAAATGTCTGTTTCTGTTTCCAAGCTAAGCTTCCTGGTGATAAGTATTAAGTCTGTCTTATTTTCCATGGTACATCCAACATCTGTTCCAGTGTCTGGCACATTGTAAATGAGAAATAAGTGTTGAATAAACAAACACAGCATATGATGAGTAATATAGCATTTCCCCTTCTGTGCGTTAATGTTACTTGTCTGTTTCCTCCCTTCCCTCACAACTCTCCTTCTGGCCTTCCAGTATCAATTTGCTGTAGCTTTTGTTATAATGATTTTTTTTTTTTTTTTTTTTTTTTTTTTAAAGAGGTAAGGTCTCGCTCTGTTGCCCAGGCTGAGGTGCCGTGGTATGATCATAGCTCACTGTTGCCTCAAACTCCTGGGCTCAAGCTGTCCTCCTGCTTCAGCCTCTCTAGTAGCTAGGACTACAGGTGTACACCACTGCACCTGGCTAGTTGTTTTTCTTCTTGAGATGGGGTCTTGTGGTATTGCCCAGGCTGGTCTTGAGCTCCTGGCCTCAAGTGATCCTCCTGCCTCAGCCTCCCAAAGTGCTAGGATTATAGGTATGAGCTACTGTGCCTGGCTTTTTTTTTTTTTTTTTCCTTTCTTTTTGAGATGGAGTCTTGCTCCGTTGCTAGACTGGAGTGCAGTGGCACAGTCTCGGCTCACTCCAACCTCCGCCTCTCAGGTTCAAAGGATTCCCCTGCCTCAGCCTCCTGAATAGCTGGGACTATGGGCACATGCCACCATACCCAGCTAATTTTTTGTGTTTTAGTAGAGATGGGGTTTCACCATGTTGGCCAGGATATACTGGTCTTGATCTCCTGACTTCGTGATCCGCCCGCCTCGGCCTCCCAAAGTGCTGGGATTACAGGCGTGAGCCACTGTGCCTGGCTGATAATTTTAACTTTATCTGTAATATGTGTCACAAATATTTTTTTCCATTCTGTCAGGTTTTCTTTTTCTTTTTCTTTTTGAGACAGAGTTTCCCTCTTGTTGCCCAGGCTGGAGTACAGTGGCTCAATTTCGGTTCACTGTAACCTCCACCTCCCGGGTCCAAGCGATTCTCCTGCCTCAGCCTCCCAAGTAGTTGAAACTGCAGGCACGCACCACCACGCCCATGCACCACCATGCCCAGCTAATTTTGTATTTTTAGTAGAGATGGGGTTTCTCTATGTTGGTCAGCCTGGTCTTGAACTCCCGGACCTCAGGTGATCCACCCACCTCAGCCTCCCAAAGTGCTGGGATTACAGGCATAAGCCACTGCACTGCACCCGGCCGAATTCTGTCAGGTTTTCTTCTGGAGGACAAGGCATAACATAAACACATTTTTAAAGTTTTTTGCACTCAAATAGGTCAATGTTTTATTTTATGGCTTTTTAATTTACTGTATTGATTAAGAAAGTCTCTTCTACCTTGGAATAAAACTAGCGTTTTCCTAAAGTTTTCTAATATTATAGTTTTACATTTAGAAATTTAATCCATCTACAGTTCATTTTTGTGGATAATTTTAGATTATGGTCTAGTTTTTTTTTCTAGGTGAATAGCCAATTATCCAAGTATCATTTATTAAATAAAACATCCTTTCTGATTAAATTGTGATCTTTGACATATCTGATTAGGTTCCACGTATATGTTTGGGTCTATTTCTGTACTCTATTTGGTTCCACTGATCTGCAACAATATGGTAATAAACAAATTTATAATAAACTTTAGTATTAGTAAAGCAACTCCTGCTTCCCACTACTTTTTTTTGTTAAATTGAAATTCACATGGGCTGGACACAGTGGCCTACGATTGTGACCCCAGTGCTTTGGGAGGTTGAGGTGGAATAATTGCTTGAGCTCAGGAGTTCAAGACTAGCCTAGGCAACATAGCAAGACCCCATTTCTACTGGAGAAAAGAAAAAAAGAAGGAAATCCACGTAATAGAACAGTAGCCATTTTAAAGTAAACAATTCAATGGCCTTTAGTACATTTTCAATGTTGCACAACCTCTATCTCTGTCTAGTTTCACATTTTCATCTTCCCAAAGGAAGCCCTTGCCCTTTAAGCAGTTACTCTCCGTTCCTTCCTTCCCCCAGCTTCTGGCAACCACCAAACCCATCTTCTGTCTCTGGATTTACCTAGCCTGGATAGTTCATATAAATGGAATCATGTAATATGTGACATGTGACCTTTTGGCTGATTTCACTCAGCATGGTATCTTTAGGGTTCATCCATGTCATGGCAGGTAATCAGTGCTTCATTCATTTTTTTAGCCAAAGAGCATTCCGTTGGATGGATATACCTCAATTCCACCACTGGTTTTCATTTTCAGAATTATCTTGGCCATTCTCAAACACCAATTTTTTATGCTAACTTTAATAATTTTGGCCTGGTTAGAAAACAAAATAGAAAAAAAGGGGGTTTGTTTTTGGGATTTCTTTAAATTTATTTATTAAAGGAGAAGGATTGATATTTTTATGTTACTGTGTATTTCCACCAGGGAATGTGATTTGTGTCTATTCAAGTTATCTTTTGCCCTTTATTAAGATTTTATAGGTTGCAGCCAGGTGCGGTGGCTCACGCCTGTAATCCCAGCACTTTGGGAGGCTGAGGCGGGCAGATCACAAGGTCAAGAGATTTGAGACCATTCTGGCCAACCAACATGGTGAAACCCCGTCTCTACTAAAAATACAAAAATTAGCTGGACGTAGTGGCATATGCCTGTAGTCCCAGCTACTCAGGAGACTGAGGCAGGAGAATCCCTTGAACCCGGGAGGCGGAGGTTGCAGTGAGGTGAGATCGCACCACTGCACTCCAGCCCAGGTGACAGTGAGACTCCGTCTCAAAA